TAGGACCCCGCCACCACCACCACCACCCCGTTAGACCTCCGCGCGTTAGGAGCAGATGGGTTAATAAATACACAGGCATGGAACGCCTCAACCGCTCCGCCACGGGCTACGTCAAATCCGTCTCCTCCCGCTCCGCCGGCGAGGAGAAGGAGAAGGTGCTGCCGGTCAGCTACTTCGGCTCCGCCATGGTCTCCCACGGCGAGGACTTCGAGCCCGACTCGGAATTCGGGCAGTGCCTCTCCTCGCTCGGCCGCGCCAACGAGCGCATCGCCCGCATGCAGGAGACGTACGCGGCGAACGCCACGAGCAGCTGGCTGGAGAGCCTGGATCGCAGTCTGGTGCAGATGAAAGAGTACCAGGCGGCGAGGAAGAAGCTGGAGAGCAGGAGGTTGGCGTACGATACTGCGCAGCAGAAGATGCAGAAGAGTAAGAAGGAGGATTTCCGCATGGAGGAGGAGTTAAGGAGTCAGAAGGCCAAGTATGAGGAGAGCAATGAGGATGTGTATAGGCGGATGCTGGATATCAAAGAGGCGGAGGTGGATAGTGTGGGCGATTTGTCGAGTTTCCTGGAGGCGGAGCTGACGTACTATGATCGGTGTCGGGAGGTACTTCTACAGCTGAAGAGGGATTGGCCGGCGTAAGATCTACACCTCCCAAGTCACTGCATCATTCCCACGTACTAACACGCAGCTCCAGGCAAACCGCAGGCACCCGCTCCGGCACCGCCAGCCCCGTCAACGGCCTCCCTCCCCGCCGCATCTCCCGCTCCCGCGCCTCCTCCCTAACCCAACGCTTCGCCGGCATCGCCGAAGACGAGCCCCTCGAACCCCCCTCCCGCCCCACCATCAGCTCCCGCGTCCCCTCCGGCCAGAGCAGCCCACGTCGTGAACTGCCAGGCTTCGACCTCCCCGTCTCCGTCCGTCCGATAGCGGCTATGGGCCGCTCGCAAAGCACGTTCGAAGGTCCCACATCTCTGGATTTCGGGGGTGGGCGCGGGGACTCCCCAGCGGGCATGCCGCGGCTCACCCGCGTCCCGACGGAACCTACTCAAATCCTAGCCGGGCGGTCGCAGCTCCGGGTCACCAAGAGAGACAGTCAGATCAGCACGGCTTCAGGCGGCGGCGGGGACGTCTTCAGCGACGACCAGAGCGATATCGCCGAGTCCCCCGTCTACGAGCACGCGCGCGCGGCGAGCTGGGCGCAGGAGATGGGGAAGCGGATGCCGCCTCCGCCGCCGCCGAGTCGAGCGAAGAAGCCGCCGCCGCCGCCGCCGATGAAGAGGAGTGCGTTGAGTACTAGTGAGATTCCGAGGTATTGAGTGCGCAGAGGCGGAGGCAGAGGCAGAGGCAGAGGCAGAGGCAGAGGCAGAGGCAGAGGAAGAGGAAGAGGTAGAGGTGGGGGAATGGGTGGGAGGGGTGGTGGAGAGGCTGATGGTGGGACCAATTGAGACGGGTCATGAGGGCGTTTTTGGGGCATGGAATACCCTAGGATGAGTGGTCTTTTTGATGGTAGGGGGGCGTAAGTAGGCTGGGTATACCCTGATAAAAGCGAGAGTTGATGAGTATCTGTATGAGCTGCGCTTCTTTTCCCAAAGTACACTGAGGCTGGATGTATGATATAAAGACTGGCGGGGAGTGGAGACGTGTGTTTGCTGCGTATGGTACGCTGGACAGTCGGCGAGTTTTTGAGGTTGCTTTTGACGAGAGGAGGCTGCGATGATCGGTGGCGATGTGTGCGGTATTCGCCAGCTCTATGAACGAAGCGCTGGTCGAGGTGAGAGGGGTCAGCTCCCAGCTCCCAGCTCCCAGCTTCCAGTCGGCAAAGCAATTTTTGCATGGCACTGCTAAACCCCGCTTTTAAGTCCGCTGCAGAGAGATCACATATATAATACGTCCATCGAGTTTCAATCCCGGATTGTTGGAGAACAGCAAGCACAATCAACGCGTTGCACTCGCAACTCATTGTTCTTCCGAGACTAACTCCCCCGCGTCTTGCTCGCTCGCGGCCGATGCCCTTACTTACACAGGAATGGCGGGCAATGAGAGGAGCAAGGAGGCCGTCCGAATCATTCTGTGCGGCAAGACGCTCGAGGTCAGCGAGAATGTGACGTCGTTGCTACAGGCGGGCATGGAAGGTTCGTGTTGCCCGTCACATCCCATTGCTCCGACGCTGTAGCTCCCAAGTAAGCAACGAACGACACTGACGAAGCTCCCGGAAATCGACGGCAGTCATCCACTCCATCAACTCTTTGGACGACGCGAAAGACAATCTCGGCGACCTGCTCGCGGGCCGCGGACCCAAGACGTCCAGTCCGCCCGACCACATCGGCTCCCACGACTACAGCCAGCCGCCCTGCGCCGCTGTAATCGGCCGGGCGTTCGCTCTGGACGATGTGGAGGTGCTCAACAGCTTGTACCGCGGGAGTGGCAGCGAGCCCGTCGCATGGATCACGGGCAATCCGGATGTAGTACCACCGTCGAAGCCTGAGCAGGAGTATGCGGAGGCCGGGGCGGAGAACGTGCAGAAGGCGTTTGAGAAGTGGAGGGAGGCGGGTGCTGAGAGCGAGGAGATTGTTCTGTATTGATGTATTGTCGGATGAAGCGGTCTCGAAAGAGAGAGTAACTCCCACTCTTAACAACTAAGTAGTGGCGGCTCCCTTGCGTCGGCTTGAGTTGATGATGCGGAGAAGGTCGCTGGGTCAGCTTGTTAGGGTATTCGGTGGGAATCTTGTGTATAGTGCCGGCGTCGGCGTCGCGTGGTGCTTTTTCCGTGGTAGCGAGTATGTGGTTGAGCCATAGTGCCGTGCATTGAGCAGTCCCCGTTGTCGTGCCCTTGAGACGTACGTGCGCTTTCGCACTGCTGCCGCCGGTCCTCCGGGTGCTACCTCCGACACTAGCGGTCCGGAGAAGGCACAGATTTTGCTGACCCTGGGTTTGCACTAGGTCACAACGGTGATCCCTCACTCATCGCGGGCGCGCTTTTCTTGAGTAGTAGCAATACCACCGCAGGAATCGGTATGAGGGTGCGGAGATAGGCGCCCCAGCCCGGCCGGAGTCTAGAGCGAGCTGTGGGCACGCCATGGGCTGACCAACAAGCGGCAGTGGCGTTGCCGCGATTTGGTCGATTCCCGGGGGCAGTGAGACCTGTGGATGTGCGAGAAATTCTGTACATGAGCTTGTCGCTTCTTCTTCGTTCGCGGGAATAATGTTCATGTCTCAATCCGCCGTCGCAAAACGCTGCACCTGAAGTTCACCATGCGCCCGCTCACTCCGTCCATCTGTTACGTGCGGGCCTGATCTCATCACCCGTATGCCTGCGCGATCGAGTGGTTGTATCGACGTCGTCCGGAGCGCTTCAATCATAGCTCTTTCCATCTCTCTCCGCTCGTCGTCCCAGTAACATCGAACGCTCGCCTTCCAGCTCGTCGTGGTAGAAGCCCAGGGACCAGATGTCGTCTGGCCTGTAGATGTCTTTGTGTATGTCCGCCACGCTCTTCGTCTTCCTATCACCGACAAGACATTCAAGCTCTGCAACCACGCGCAAAAGCCATGTTTGGCTTCTCGCAGTGGTTGAGCCGCCACACACCGCAAGCGTCTCAATCGTACGATGATCAAAGCCCGGTTTGCCGCAACGAACGAATCCGTCCGGCCATGGGCAGAGCTTATTTCTGAGTCTGCAGGTTCCTATGGCGATCAAGACGTGCGCCTAACAGTGGTCGTGGAGGTGTTCTTGGACGGCGGTCAGATCGTGGTAGAGCCCTGATCTTCGTGCATTCGTCAGAAGTCGCACGTTAACACGCGTTCACTCACTCGGAAGCGTTCAGCCTGTCGCCCTCGATCGGACTGTGCCCGACGTTTGTAAAGGTCAGAAGTTTACAACCGACATCTTGCTGTCCAACCCAGTCACGGACCGACTCCAACAGCTCGTCGGGATCCGTTCAAGCGAACCCGGTATCAATGTCCTCCCGCAACAGATTATCTCTGTCCTTCGCCTTGATGTCCAAATTTAGACTCTTCAAAGCATAGTCAAGCTTTCTCGCGTTGTCTTAGAAGCGCTCTTCGTTCACGAAGAGAGTGTACGCGCTGCCTTTCCTGTTCTCGGACAACGATGTTGTTGGCGAACGAAGACGTCACGGGTCTTATGGTAGTGGCGCGGTATGCCATTGCGGTGACGTAGAGGTGTTTTGAGATGTCTGTGTGAGATGATGAGGCGAGAAGTATCGGAAACGACTGTGTGCTTACCGCGGCGGTGGAGGGCCAGCGCTGAAGAAGGATTCGCGCTTCAAAGCGCAAGGTGGATATCTCAATCATGAACTGTTGGAATGTGTACCTCCTGCCTGTGGAGCTACGGACCGTTTGTCTGAAGGGGCTCCAGCACTGTTCGGGCGCATATCGTGTGGTTTCCCCTGTTGAAGACAAGGAGGCGACGTACTTCTCCTCAACGCCAAGACGACACAAACTTGGCTTCTCCTCATCGGAATGCCGTGGCTGCGCAGTCTTCGCAGTCGCAAAATGCACATCAACGTGATGGAACGCGTATCAGTTGCTGCAGCGCTTGAGCATGTTGAGACGCGTCAAACAATCAAAAACTGCAATTGAAATATAAAGTTTGACACGTCGGCGGAGTGACCTGGGGTGTTTGTTAGCAATCACATCCCACCCAAAACTCGAACGCACCCTCAGAGTGCAAAAAACCTGACCTACCCAGTTGGATAGGGTGCCAGGAGGAGCAGTCGACTAGCACCTGATGTTACTTGAATTGGCCCTGTCGGAGGGGCTTTCAGAGAGTCTTGGGGGAGGAGCTGTGGTTAATGCCAGCTGGAAACACAGTAATCTGTTAGCACAGGAGAACATTAAAGTCAGGTCACTATCTAGATCCTTCTCTCGTCGATACAGGATATTGCTGAACCCCAGTAATAACATTCCCCACGCCGGAGGGCTATAATGAGAAATGTGTCAGCCAATGTAATCGTTTAACTGAGTGAGGACTCTTCCATCTGACGGCCGGAGCAGGACTCGAACCTGCATTCGTTGGAATAGTGTCAAAGCTTGACGGTTCCATGTCCTACCATTGGACGACCCGGCCACAGATTTCTGAGGGGATGGGAGAGTACTCACTGCTTTCCTGAGGTTCGAGAAAGAGGCCTTTGCATGTGAATTATATAATTCCATCTGGTCGCCGAGGAGGTGCCGGCCTTGGATCGCCCCAATGCCAGGCAGGTTGAATAGACCATAGCATCCACACCCATACCACAGTCACGTCTTCTTCGCCGCCCTCAAGCAGATAGTAGAACGTTACACGGCGTCCTCGTGGCCAGCATCGCAGTGGAGAAACGTCGTCGCGTCTGTAAAGCAGTCCCATCCACCTCCGATCGCTCCGCCACGGGATTTTGCGTCCATCATTCGTTCACCCACGCACAGCAACACCACACCCGCACACACCGCCAAAAGCACGAGCATGGTGCTTAGCTGGATCACGTCTCTGCTTGCCAGACGAGCGACAAAGAAACCAGCAAGCGTGGACGACGACGACGACCTCCGCCACAATCCCAGGGGCGCTGCACGATTTTCGAGCACCTGCAACCATTTCTTCGCCCAAGCCAGCGGATGATAGACCCGGAGATAACAGCAGCCTCGTTATAAGACGGACCATTGCGCAATAACTTGCAAGCTCAAAGCGCAAGATTGCCCATGGCGCAATCTCCGTGACGCCAGGTCAGCAGCGGTGGGAGGACGCAGCGGCGATATGATACCACAACAGCTCTTGGCGCTGACGAGAGAGCGGCGGTGGCCATACAGCTGGAAGGGCACGTCTGGTGTTTTGGGGTCCGCAACAGGAGGCGGCTCGCATGGCCATGCGCACATCCCCCGATCTCGAAGCAGCGAAAATGGGAAGGCACAGCAGCGACGCAGCGATATGCCAAGGGGCGGCGGCGGCGGGACTGTAGCAATAGGGGTTCCTCGCCTCCTGTGCGCCCATGCCCGGCTCTCTGGGTGGTGGAAGTGGGAGGACACGGCCGCAAGCAGCTCCATATGGGGGCCAGAGGTCGGCTGAAATCGAGTAGACGCAAAATTGCGAGCGCGTGCCCTGGGTAGTACAGCGGTGTCGGCAGGTATGGCGACGCAGCAGTACCATGCCACGACTCGTCGCCTGTATGACAGCAGCAAGAGCGTATTGCTCATACGGCACCGTCGACGTAGGCCTCAACCCTCGCCCTGTTTGGCTACGCCCACGTCAAGACTGTGGACATCGAGACCAGTCTGCCCATCCAGAAGTGGAACCATACGCCCGCAGACATGGCCCCGGAGACGGAGAGATCTGTCAAGACACACTGGCTTTTTGACGGCGGACGACAAGACCGAGCTGAGGTCAATGCAGCGGTATGCAGTAAGTGATCCGGTCTTCCGATATCACCAAATGCCAGAAGCGTTGTGTGCCGAGTCGCGCTGACGGTATACGTCCGTGCTGTCCCTAGAAGACGTTCCGTCTCACCCTCGATCACAGAGGCGTGGGACCGTCTGAGTCGTGACACTGGCCTGCGTGTTCCCGTGTCTCCCAAGAACCATGAGGCATACACTCCTGTTCCGCAGTTGTTGCTGCCGCAGTGGTATAAGCTGCGTTCGAAGCCGTGTCCGAGCGGCGAGTCCAGTCTCTGGCTATGTAGCCTGCCCACATAGTAATACCTCTTTCTTCTCCACGACGCATGATCGCCTTCTCCATCCTAGCCGGAATGGGAGCTATATGGCGTAGGAGACCGCGTTGCCCCGTAGGTCTCGCCGGCTTTGCAACGCTTGCCCACCACTGTGCCCCAGTATGCCTCCTCTTGCTGCACACCACAAATCGTGGGCTTGTACGAATCTTGCTTCAGGTCTTGCTGTACTCTCGATACTGGCGGGCGAAGAAGCCGGGTCTGGGTGCTTGGTGGGGCCCTGGCTGTGAAGGCAGGTGCTAAGCGGGTGGTGACTGCACCGTGCGTACAGCAGGAGGCTGCTCATGGGTCCTTGTGGGGGTACTCGAAGCCGCCGATATGCTCCTTGCGCAGTCGACGGGGGATTCCACGGGCAGCAACGTTGGGAACGTGGCCGGGCGATGGTGTTCGGCGCGGTTAATGCATCAGCACATGGCCGTGCTGGAAACGCCAGCGAGTCAATTCGCTACAGGGTGATCGTGGAAGCCAGAGAGCTGCTCGCACTGCTATCGTGGCCTTGCTGTCCTTGACCTCGTTCGTCGCAGTTGGGAACGAGTGCCTCGACAGCGGACGCCCGAGGCCCGCCTCTCCCTCGGTCCCCTCGAGGCGACAACGACAACATGCCATCACTAACACTCCGACAAACACTTTGCGGAACTCCTCCGGCGCTGTGTCAACACCCTCGTCACCTCCCAGAGACCGCGTTGGCGTTCCCAGCTGCTGCACAGCCGAGCAGCGCAAAACAGGGTCTGACGTTCACAAGGCACTCCCGCGGCCAGCCAGCCTTGGCAAGGCCGTCCGAGCACCACTTGTTGGCAGTCTGAATAAGGCTTACCTGCATAGCCGCCGCGACGGCTGTGGCTGCATGTGATCGATGGTGAATATCAGCCCTGTGTATTAGGGAGTTTTCTACCCGCGTTTAGCGCCGAAGGCTCCAGGGCACTGGGAGGCCCGGGCGTGTGCGAGGGAGCACGGGAGAGGACTGCAGTCGAGGGTGCTCCAACAGCTCACGACACTACTGATGGGTCGCTCCGACTGGTGAAGAGGACGGGGGGGCTGCCTTGAGACGCGTGGAGCAGGCGCTACAGCATGCACATGCGAGTGAGCAGATCGGGGAGCGGCGCGACACCGTCACACCACCAATCGCATCAACGGGCGACAGCAGCACCAGCGCGTCTTCGACGTGCATACGCCAGCCATAGAAGAGCGAAGAGCATGGAGGCTATTGACTGTACACTCTTGGGCAGCGACTTTTGCAAGGAGGAAGATGGGAGTCTGCTTGAGCGCGCAGCAGCGTCTTCTGCCAGGGGCAACGCCACTTGGAGTACTGGCACACACAGGCAAGTCGCCACTACGGTGATGGAGAACACGGAGGTTCTGGCAGAGCAGATATGGTCTGGCACTATCAAATACAGGCGCGTCCACGGTATCAAACCTCGGAAGGTTTCGTCCATCTCTCGCGCATGTATCCTACTGTCTCTTCGCACCCCTCTCGCACTGTCGCAAGTACAGTCTCCCCTCCCCTTCCTTAGATCCACGTGCTCGGCATCCATACGCGTAAGCCAGACACTTCTCCGTGACCCTCTGAGCAGCTTCACAGTTGATCTTTACTGCAACGCGTCACGATGCTGAGCAGCGACGTCTGCCAGCATGAAACGCCCTTCGAGTAGGACTCGTACTCGGCTGTCAAGGCCCTCGACTCGAACCGGAAGTACAAGAGACCTGCTGGCAACGCGATGAGGCCACACTTCCGGACGATGAGACTGCCGACCAACCCACCATGGAGGACCTGCGCGGCAACGCCTACCAATCTGTATGGACGGTGTCGAGTGGTACAACAGCCCAGCCTACGCCCACCCCCGAAACACCGATCGCTTATGCCGCCACAAGGAAGCACTCTAGCTCGACTGGCATGCACAACAACGGATTCAGTCATTTCTCTAACGGGAAATATGCCCCAAGACACATCTGCTGTTCTCTTGCCACCAGAATGCCGGCTCGCCCCAAGCTCGAAGTCGAATGGAAGGCGATACCATTCAGGCGGTCGAGGCGTAAGCCGCAAGGAAACTGTTCATACACAGGCCGTAGGCAGGATAGGCTCATATGAGATGACTACCGGACTGTCTGACCTCGAGAAGTTTACTTAACCTCGCCCTTGGTTTTGGAGGAATCGTATACACATTGATATACCATGACTTTCAGTGGCGATAAGACGCATGGTAGACCCAGCTACCAAAGCTACTTAAATGACCCTCCAGCCTTTCCCCATAAGAGGCTCACCACATGGATCTCCCCTCTGGTATTGTTGTTACAAGCTTGGAGGCAGAAGGGACCCGTAAGCTCGTCGCAGTTGCCCCAGAATACGAGAACACCGGAACACGATCAATAGATGTGATATCGGGTTTGTCTTCTTGGGCGGAGGGGAAGTACTCGGCCTCGACTGGAGTCGCCGGAAGCCAGGGGGTTGTTGTTCCACGTACGCACTGTGCTATGATACTTTACGGCGGGCACCAAATATTGAGGAGCAGCATCTTTTCAAGTCGACCCCATCGAGCTTCGCCTCCTACGTGATTGAGCTGCTCCCTATGTAGGAGAGGTTTCGCTCTCGGGAGGGAACAATGATTTACTTACAGACGTAGACTGCATGGATGCGGATGAGGTGATGACCAGCATATGAGAGAGTGGAGGCTGCTCCATACAGTCCTATCGACCTCGTCCACAACGATGCGAAAGCCAGGAACCTCTTCAAATACATCAACAACCATAGAAATTGCCCAGAAACCCAACAGCGCCACCCGCCAGAGAACGAACAACAACACCTTCGCAAACCTAAGAGAACATGACAGCCTTCCGATCCAACGGCCGGCCATCCGCCGCAATGCCCTCCCGTCCAAACCGCTCCTCCATCACCACCCGCCTCGCCTCATCAAACCCCACGCCCCTCACCCGCATAATCCTGTGCACCTCCCGCTTCCCATTCGCATCCAACCCCCTGCGACTATCCCCTGCCTCGATATTCTCGGCCAGGTTGAAAGTACTGCTGTGCAAGCCCGCCTCGGCGTCTTCGGCGAACGTGGAGGAGGTGGGGAGGCGGACGTAGCGGAAGCGGTCGACGGAGGTCTGGAGGAAGTGGGTTATGTTGTAGAGCGGTTCCGGGATGGTACCGGGCGCGGTCACGTAGGGGATTGGGGGCGCGAAGGGTTTCCAGAGGGTGCGGGTTAGGTAGAGGACTGTATGTAGTCGTCAGCGAAGGGGTTGGTTGGGGTGGGTGGTAGGGTATGGTTACCTGTTGCGACGACTAGGAAGAAGAAGGTGAGGGAGTAGAAGTAGAAGCCCATGGTGGCTTGCTGGCGTTGTTCAACCGCGACTCCAGTGGTGGTGGTGGTGGTGGTGGAGC